TATACAAAGGGAGGAGTTAGTGATTTAATTGGATTTAATGATGGTGACTATGCCGGAGACATGGAAGATAGCAAGAGTACTTCAGGCTATGTGTTTATGATGAGTGGAGGAGCTGTAGCTTGGTCTTCTCGTAAGCAGCCTATAGTCACCTTATCAACCACAGAAGCTGAGTTTGTTGCTGTTAGTGCCTGTGCATGTCAAGCTGTTTGGATGAGAAAGATACTCAAAGAGATTGGTCACTCTCAAAGAGAAGGAACAAAGTTTATGTGTGATAATACTTCAACTATTAAGCTATCCAAAAATCCAATTCTACATGGATGTTCCAAACATATAAGAGTAAGATTTCGCTTTCTCAAAGATCTTACAAAGGAAGAAATTGTTAATTTATTATTTTGTGGTACCCGAAATCAACTTGCTAATTTGTTGACAAAGCTTCTAAAATTAGAAGCAGAAGTTGCATGAAGAAGTTAGTGAGTTTTTTTTACTTGAACTCATTCTTGACAAAGAAAAATAAGTTCAAGAGAGGATTATTAGAAAATTTGATTAGGTAAAAAATAGTTTTTGAGTAATTTTAGGTATTTAATTTAAATATTTTACAAGATTTTTTTACTTTCCGAGATTTGTGGTTAGTTTTTTTTTTTTTTTTAAGGTTATTTGTAAATCTATAAAAGCTAATTTTAGTATTCAATAATATCATCACTTCAAACTTCAATTGTTTATGTTTCTTGTTTATGTTTCTGGCTTAGACCCCACCTGGAGACCCAGACGCGGAATGGCTAACGCTGGACAACGCAGACATGAGCTTCCTGCTCCATGACTAGCCCTTGGCCCCCATCGAGGACGAAATCACCATGAGACCAAAGACATACAAAGACAAGGTCCCTCACTGCAGGGACCAAGGACCTGGTGGACCCCGTGTTATCGTGCCTCCTTAAGGGTCGGGCAGTGGTGGACATACTGAAGAGGGAGACGTTGCTGGCGGGGCGGAGGAGATGACAACACTCTTGTCGGAGGCATGGGGGGTAGAGGAGAAGGAGATTATGGAGCTTGACGGCTATTCACTGGGCATTGAGGGCGTACTGCATAGACATGCCATGAAGGCGGACAAGGTTTACACCACGCTATATGCGCCAACGCACATTAGGCCTGCCATTTCCATGGGGGTCTCGAACCTGGACAAGTCTGTGCTTCTGCCTGACATGGTGCTTGACTGGAGGAGGATGAGGGTGGTCTGTGAGGCGGTTTTCTACCTCACATGCATGGTGGAGGGACACCCCAAAAAGAAGATGGGGGGGATCACTGTGCCGGGCCAGAGATCCGGCAGCAGGAAGAACATGATGGCGTTTACGCACCCGGCAAGCTACTACATGGGGGTGTTGGATGTGGGACATGCAGTCGCTAGGGCAACAACCGACATGGGGAAGGAATGCACTGCCACGCTCCTGATAGAGGGGGCGCATGTGGGCACTGAGGGCAAGATGCCTGTGCGCCCTGAATGTATACACGCTCGCCCATGGGGAGAAGAAGCCCTCCGCGAACCACATCCTACTGAATAGCAAACTCGTGAACATACTACTCAAGCCTACTCCCTACATGGCCTACAAGGCCTGGAAGAATCACATTAAGATCACCTGACATCCCCTCGAGTGCGAAGAATATGATCATAGGGTTGGACCCGGATGACGACACGGGCACCTCGAAGCCCCGCAAGTCCGCTGTGTTCTCGGGTATGAAGAGGCCCATCCTGGTAGGGAAGGAGTCGGTCATGACCAGGTACCTCCTATGCCCCTCCGACCTAGGGGCAGCACTAGAGAAGGCATGGAGAGAGCTCGCAGGCGACGTGATGGCCTCCATCACCAAGGTCTGCGCATAGGCAAACCCCACCATGCCACAGGACAGAGGTACGTGATATGAACCAAGAGACATCAATCATAGAATATATTTCATTGAAGATCTGAAGAAAATGTTGTCAAAATTACCAAAAGATATTTCAATTCATGACACATTAAAGGAATGAAGTTTCATTTTATAAATTTTGGGTGGATCATAATTTAGAGTTACAGTGTTTCTTTAATGTATTTAAGGCTTATTTACATAATGGATAATTATGACCAATAAATATACAAGTGGCTATAGTAATAAAGTATAAATGTTACAAACACTTGAAATGACTCAGGTAAGGCCAAGGATTTTATTTTCAAGCTATATAAAGCCATGTATATTATCTTTGTAAGATAGACGGTGGAAAATGTAGTAAAAGAAGTATATGTGTTTTCCTTTAGTCAATGACTAAGTTTCTTTGCAATTCTATTTAGTTTAGGTTGCAGGTAGAATCATTCGAGCTTGACATGATCAATCTTGCTTGTGGAGTGATTCGAACCTCAAACAAGTGTTCTTGCCTTGACATATTTGATCAACAAGAATCATTCAAGCTAGACATGATCAATCTTGCTTGTGAAGTGATTCGAATCTCAAATAAGTATTTTTGCCTTGAGATATTTGATCAACAAGAATCATTCAAGCTAGACATAATCGATCTTACTTGTGGAATGATTCAAATCTCTAACAAGTATTCTTGCCTTGAGATATTCGATCAACAAGTTAATCTGAATTTTACTTCCCTTGTAGTGATTCCATATCATTTGGTATCAGACCTTTCAATTGAACTGATTCCACGTGAGTGTGGTAATCAAGAGAGAAGTTATCTTTGAGAACCTTGATGAGGCCTTTTGGGGAATCCCAAAACAAAACCATGAGAGCTTATGCTCAAAGTGGACAATATCATACCATTGTGGAGATCTGTGATTCCTAACACATAGACCCTAAAAATAGGTGAATCGAGTTGTCACCCTTAGGGTGCAACCCCTATTCATGAACTAGCCAAGAGGAGGTAGGGTCTATGTGGTATATATAGTCAAGTTGTCACCCTTAGTGAGTTACATTGAATCATAGAGGGTACGTTACTGACGTAGTTTTAGTTGTGCCTAGAGAGGGAGCAAAGTTAGTTACGGTCTCTGCTCCGAAGGGTGACATGATAGGTAATTTATTATTGTAACGCAAGAGGGGGTGTGAACAAGTCAGTTACTATCTCCGATCGGAAGAGCAATTTGACAGGATAGTGACTATTTCACCTGAAAAGACGACGCAACAGGTAGTTATAACCCAGATAGTTAGGTGTGAAGTATATATCTTACGTTAGAGCAAAATGGTTCATCCATAGTTACTAGACTTACCATATGCCTGACCTTTTCAGTTATGAACCCGAGTGGTGTTGGGTTATAACTAATTTGAAGAAAATCATGTGGCTTTAGATTTGAATGCACGCCCAGAAGCCGAATGAACCAATTTGTTGTTGCCACGTATCAAGTCGAGGGCGCGTGACCTATTCGCGCATGGGCAACCCTCTAGCTGCATGTGAGACACTTCAATCATGATCCAACCTTGGTTTTCTTCAATTTAACCCCCTTTTATATTTGTTCTCATGCATTTCTTGATAATTCAAGAAACAATACTTTTGGAGCAATTTTGGAGCAATTTTGGAACCAAAAACTTGAAAACATTAACTAAGAGGTAAGTAGCAATTTTGGACTTTTCTCTAGATATACATGTATAAATCACTTTAAAATTGATAAGAACCTTAAGTTACATAATATTTAGAGGATTACGGAAGAATTCAGTCAAAACTGTGAATGAATGGCTTAAATCGAGCTTTGTGCTCTGAATAAACCAATTTTAAAGAGGATAACTAAACAAACTCCGTCGTATATAAAATTTTAATTTAAGCATGAATATGATATATTAACTTCAAAGGTTATTAGATTAAGTTAAGGGGCTGAACCAAACATATGGTAAAGTAACTAAATGTCAACCCTCGGTTTATGGTCAAACCACATCCAATAAAACTTGATATATTACTTGAATTCATGACTCTCAAAGGACTAGTGAAAAATTACTAAAATTACTAAAATGCCCCCAATGACTAATGACCATCAACTTTAAGAACTTAGTAATTTTGTTGGTCTTGTTAGTTATATGATTCTTTAGGAATGTTTTATGCTTATGATAGGATCATGTTTACTTTAAAATCGTACATGCATCATGAATAGGGTGTGTAATAAGTTTTCATGTATACCTAGGGTTACTTATATTACTATGCACAAGACATACTCTAGGATTATGTACCAAGTTAAGCTAATGCCTTACACACCCCTTACCCATGATCCTTTAAGTTTGCTCGGTACTACTCGACTAGTTTTAAGTGATTCATGATCTCCCACCACGTTATGCATCATGATATCTATGTTTTCCTCTTTTAGGTGGGATGTCGTACATCGTGCTTTCTTAGCAGGATATCATGGTAAGGTCTTATGTTTTTCCTTGCCTAGATGAGATGTCCTATACCATATTAAGGAATGATTGCCCATGTTTGTATGTCTAACCAAACCCATTCATGCAAATTCTCCCTGCCCATACCCCTAAGACGCTCCAATCACGTTTCTTGCAAGATGACACTCCCATGTGTTTGCACTGACCATGTGACCTTCTCGGTCTTTCATGAAGAATAGTCTAGGGCCATATTAGAAATAGCAACTAGGTTGACCAAGTATCATGAACCCAAACCAAAATTATATGTTAAGTCCTTGGTTTTTTTACCATGAACATGATTAAGAGTTACAAATAGGCTACTTATGAAGTCTTTGTACTCGCACCAACTTTTTCATGTTTTTCACGTAGTAAGAAGCTAGACGGGAATGAAAGTAGATTTTGGAGCACGAGCCATAGGCAAACCACCTCAACCTTAACTCTGTTTTTCATTATTTTTAATATTTTATTTATCCCAATCAGTAAAAAAGTCAACAAAAATATATTTTTATGGTAATAAAAATATTCCTCCGATCTACTGCCGTCCGATTCGGCATCCCTCTTAATCCGTTCATCGAACGGCTGTCATTCATCTGAAACAATATAACCAAATCTTTCCCTTCCCTTTGGCTTCTCCGATAAGCCAAAACAGACGACAGAATTCCTCAATCAACATTGTTGGAGCAGAGAGAGCTTCACATGGCGGCCTCCATTTCAACTTCAGCTAATCCTCTTCTCACGTCAGAGCGCCCGAACCGCTTGGCTGCTAACGTAACATCTTTGTCGAGATTGTCTTCCACATCGTCTATACAGCTACCGGTTCAGCTTCGGTGTGTTCGACTCGGAAACCATGGGGTTTCGACTCTGTCGCGGTCTCGAATCTTGCCTGTGGTAGTAATCTCTTTTCTTGGATCTGTATGTCGTCTTAATTGAGGAACCTGTTAGAGAAATTGGAATATATGGACTTCCCTTTTGTTCTAATTTTTGCTTTTGTTCATAATCTAATATTCAATGACTTCTTGTTAGTTGTACGGTTTCTTGCCCTAATTGCAGCTATAAATATTCTGTAGACCGAAACTCATGATTTAGCTGTTTTCTTTTCCCCTTTTCCTTTAACTTCGGGATTTCCTTTTATTTGAATTTTGATAATCACGGTGTCTGCTGCTTTTTACATATAACTTGAAACTAGACGGTTCAATTAGGATTTTTTTGTAAGAAATGAGTGTATTCTATCTGGTTCTATGATTTCTAGGTTGGTTCAAAAATCCAGTTATAAGTACATTTCCGGAAGTACTTTGTTCATTCAGAATGTTTAGTACTTTGTTCATTCACAACTATTACATTAGTGTTTTTTTTTTATTAGTTCTTAAGTAGATTCTTTGAATATGGATGATAATATGAAGATGTGTCTGAACTACTGTAATGGATAACGGTGGACTTGTTTGTACAAATTAACTTTTGTAGATCAAAGCAAGTAATCAAACGTTTTCCTCCTTTGATGATTTACTGGCCAACTCTGGCAAACCGGTGTTAGTCGACTTCTATGCTACCTGGTTAGTCACTTTCTTTCTCTTCAATGCACGCACACACATCTATTTTCAAGGCACTCTTCCTTGAAGAGCATTGCAGACGTGACATGATATTTTGTTACAGTTTGCATGATTGTTAATATGTTGAGTCATTTTGTGTTTAATAGATCTTGAATTTTAAAAGTGACTTATATGTTTCGGACCTATGAGTTGTAAAGTTGAAAATTAAGTTTTGGAGATCTTTTAGACAAATTTTTCTATTTGTAGGAACCTAACTTATAGCTTAGCCTAAAATTTAAATTTGTGGACTAATATGGGTGTAGTAGATTTAGTCAATTGCATCAATTAAATGTGTCAATTTGATCTACTTATTTGGACATTTCCTTGTCAAAGGGGTTATGACCTTTACATTTCTTGAGCATTTCTGTTTAGAAATTCAGAATTGTAAATAATTTGCATTACACATTGTTTATGTTTGATTATATACTTAAAAGACATCTCGACAACATCTAGTTCTGTTTGAATGTGCATGTTGTAGGATCCTTGGAATGTTTGTCCTTGATTGAGTTGCTACACACCCATTTTCAAAGAACTCCTAGAAAAGCATTGCATACGTGGTATGATATACCATCACACTTTATACGCACAATGGTAATCTGCGGAGACATTTTTAATACACTATTTCAAAACAATCTATTGTTACCTGGGAGCAATACCTTGTGAATATGATTCAATGGTCAAGTTAGTGCTTGACTACTGAGGAGAAATAAAACAAGCAGGGGTTCAATTGTAGAATCGAAGTATTTTCTTTTAGAAAAAGTAATGTAATTTTATTAAATAATGAGTAAACCTAGCCCCTCATTTGCAGGTGCGGTCCTTGTCAGTTTATGGTTCCTATTCTTGAAAAAGTTAGTGCTAAGCTGAGTGACACAGTCCAGGTGGTCAAGATTGACACTGAGAAATATCCTGTCATCGCTGATAAATACAAAATCGAGGCACTGCCTACGTTCGTCCTCTTCAAAGATGGAAAACCCCTTGACCGATTCGTAAGTGAATGCTTTGACTCATTTCTAGTTATTTGGAGTGATATCAAATGTACGACTTATTGTAGCTTTTGCTGTCAAACAATAGATGCGTGAAGATCTCTCTCTCATAATGTTTTAGAATCTTTTCAAGTACATGATTTTTTTTTTTTTTTTTTTACTTTTCTGAAATTTAACGAAAAAGTGAAATGTTACCAATGAGTAGTTTCGTCGAGAAAAACTGTAATTATGTTAGAAATTGAAGTTTCCATATCTATAAAGGTCTATCCTTGATTACTCTGAAACCATTGTCTACTGTTTCTTTACTCTGTTCATGCAACCAGATTAATTTCAAGGAGTTAAAGCTATGCCCATGTTTTCACTATTCAGTTTGCCCCCTTGTAAACACATTAGCACATCCTCTTTCTTACTAGGCTACAACTATTTTTCGTTTTCTTTAAGTTTTAGTGAGATCTCATAAACAATCTTTTAACTTCTTAGACATTCTTGTTGAAATGTCAGGTAGTCGCTCTTTCAGTTTCTTCTGCTTTGATTATTAATTTTTTTTATTTTAAACATGCCTGCAAATGATATATATGCAGGAAGGAGCTATGACAGCGGATGACCTCATCAAACGCATTGAAGATTCTCTGAAGGTTAAGCAATAACACTGGTGAGACTCCATACCCTGATTAAAGAATTTGTCTAACCTTGCATTGCATGCTTAGAAGATTTAATACCCATATTGTTGGGAGACAAACTTGGTTTTTTATTTTTTTTTAATTGAAAAGGCCAAACTCTTTAAGAGAACGACAAGATATACAATGAGCAATTCAAAAACCAGCTCAAACCAAATAGAGCCAAAGCAAGACAACGACAGAGACCGAATAAAACTTTAAAGAATGATCTCCAACTCTTAAGAATAAGAAACAACATATAAATACAGAACTCTGTGTGAGGAAGTACTAACCTAGCTGTAGACTGAACTTTTCCAATACATTTCTTCCACTATAAAGATCCACTCGTTTCTCCCGTGCTAAATGTTCTACAAAATAACTAAAAGGTAGTCTTCAACAACACTTCTTCCTCGTCTTCAAATGGAGGATGGAACAAGGCCTCCTTACGAGGAGCAAGAAAAACAATTATGAACCAAGGAAGCTTATCTCCCAGCATATGATTAAGTTCTCCACAGCATACTTACCCAAAATACACTGCTTTGGATTCACATCACGGAGGAAATCTCCTGCATCAAATCAAATGTGCTAATCTTTCCGTGCATGACTTGTTAGGCAAAGAATCTAACCTTCTTTGGGACAAAGAAAACAAAGAGGGGCTTGGATTGGGAGAGAGACGCAAAAGAGAAAAGAAACATCTAGAGAAAAAACCACTTGAAAGGTCAGAGCTCCCAAAAAAATATCCCAGAGTCGGGACAAAACCAAAATCTCACTAATTATGAAATCAAAGTGGAGATATCAAACAGGGAAGGTGACATCAAAAGCTTCCCTGTCCAAAAGCGGTGGCATAAAATCAAAGTCAAAGGGAACATAATCCCGGGAAGCAAGAAGGATATGGTCTTTAGGAGCAGATTTTTACAAAGAAAAAATGAAGGCAAATCTCTTATTGCCTTTTTATAGCTTTAATCTGTCTAAAAGACATCAAGAAATTTGCACACTTTATCACTCCAATTCTCATTTAGTGTGTTTATAACAATACCTTATCCCAACAACTATTTTGATAAACTTAGTTACTTTTTAGAAAAGAATGTTTGTTCCCTTGCGAAGAATATTTGGTTGACCTTGAGGCGCTAACAACTTTTTCTTCATAGCTAAGAATGTTTAGCATGATTTAGAGGTGCAAAATTAGGACCAATTAGAAATCAAATTCCAAAATTGGAACCCAAATGTCACTTTTGAAACCAGAAGGATCAAATAGAAATAAAGTTTAAATGTTAATGATAAAAAAAAAATTGTAGTTAAAATAATTCTGTTAAAAGCCTACAAATTTTAGTACATTGGTTGGAGTTTGCGGAACTGATCTAAGCACTGCGTTGAAAAAGTATTGTAAAGGTTAACCACCTACTATAAATCTAGTAAGTTCTCCTATTGTGTATATCCTATGTTCCTTCGTTTTCAAATCATGGAAGTGTTTAAATGTTGGTTAATAATTTATAACATTAATTGGTTGCACTGCAGAAACACTGGGATGTCAAACGTCCAAGGGAGATATCACTGAGAAAATATGGATATGGAAATCAATGTCTTGGACAGGAAGGAATTCTGGGTATGCTACTAAGACTAATAGAAATAACCTCTCTCTCTCTCTCAAAAAAAAAAAAAAAAAAAAAAAAAAAAAAAAAAAAAAAAAAAAAAAAAAAAAAAAAAAAAAAAAAAA